TTCTTTGTTTCGTAGGGGGGACGTCGAGTGAGTTGCACAGCTGTGGAGTCGATGTCCACGTGGTATCGTGAGCACGTGGCAACAGCAGCAGCAGCAGCTTGTGTGTGTCAAGGCCACGGGAGGGCTGCTGGTTCTTGCTGGAATTCTCACGACTGATGACGATTCCTTGTGTTGTGAGCATTTTTATTTTACATTTTTAAATCCTTTATATTAAGTTCACTTGCTTGCGCGCTTACTTACGACCGTGCAAATCTTTCGGTCGTTTTTTAACCCTCTTCCCGTGATCCAATCGAGCTGACATGTTGCACACAGACTCGTTGTGCGAGACAACTTTTTAGGAAAATGTTTTATTCATATTTAATTTAAAATAGCAATGTGATAAAAATGAAACTTTATTACTCAAGAAAAACAGAAATGAATAATAAAATAAAACCGATGCCACGCATATAAAGGATTTATAGTGAAAAACTTTGTTTTTACGGTTAATTTTTTTCAAATTTTCTTGCTGTGGATTTCACACCTGATGATGATTGCTTGTGTTGCAGTCGAAACGCCGTGAGAATTTTAATCGGATCGCTAATGGCTCTGATGATGACAGTTGCTGTGAGAGTTGTATTTACCTAGCTACAATGCCATTGGTCAGTCTAGTGAATGGGCGGCACAGATGCTAATGCAACAGCAATGCCATTTCGAGGGTGTGGAATTCATCCTGTTATGTACGAAACTTGAGAACCCTAGCTACATACAATATCTGCTGCAAGTTTAATAGGGCTGAACATTGAAAATGTCTAAGTGTACAATGATTGCGATTACCATGTCTCTATAGTCGTGGTTGAAGAGACATTGTAATGTTTTTAAACTATTTTATCTTTTCCTGTAATTTCTTGAAATTCTCTTTTGGCTGGTTAAGTAAAGACATGCCTTATAATGGCTGCACATAAAAAAATTTGTTTTAATGCATTTGTTTTCTGGCCATTTGTTTTAGTGGCCAGGTACTGGGCCGATTCTGCTGCGAGACCGAGTGTGTGCTTCGCCGGGGAGAGATGTAAAAATGTAGGTGAAGAACGAAATAAAAATAATTAAAATAAAAGAATAAAATCACGACGTTTCGGAAGCAACACAAGCTTCCGTCTTCAGGTGAAACTGTCACCGCAAAATATCTGTTTCACCTGAAGACGGAAGCTTGTGTTGCTTCCGAAACGTTGTGATTTTTCTATTTTTCTTGGTTCTTTCGGTCAAGTCGTCACGTAGAAGGGAAGTAATAAAATAATAAAAATAAAAATAATAAAATAATTTTCACGACGTTTCGGCCACAACGCAAGCAGCCGTCCTCAGGTGAAAACCAGGTCTGTCGAGGAGACAGCGTCTGAATGAAACAGCACACGAGCTTGGAGCATATATATAAGCTGGGTTGGGAGGGGGGGAAAGGGCGCTTCGACAAAATAATTTGCATATCAAGAGGAATTTAGCATATTCATGGGAAATGCAGGAATGTGATTAGTACTACTTATGCCCGTGCATTATGCAGGATTAGCAGCATCAAAGGGAGGGGATATGGGAAATGCAGGTAAGTGAATAGTACTACTTATGCCCGTGCATTATGCAGGATTTGTGATTTATGCAGGATTTGTGATTTTTATTCTTTTATTTTAATTTCATTTTTTACCTACACGGTGACTGTACCGAGTATGAATCCTTGCAGTCGCGAAAGCTTCAAATCTCCAAGATATCAAAATGGACGAGCAGTGCATGCATCAGGACGGTGAGGAGCTGCAGCAGCAGCAGCAGTCTCCAAACAATCGGAAGGCTCCTTCACTCACCATGCAGAATGCAGCTCAGTCTGTGCAGCAGTATCCTCCTGCCTTGGCAGAGGCAGCAACCCAGACTTGTCAGTCTCCACAGGCTCAGCCAGTTGAGCACACCCCACAAGTGCCTAAGGTGTCCACTTCTGGCAGCAGTCAGCGAGCGAGTGGAGAGGCGGCTTCTGATACGAACTCCCAAGGTGATCACTTTGACTGCCCCTTGTTCACACACACGTGCTGTCTAGCTATTAAGACACATTTGAGGTTTTTGTAAATTATATAATTTCACTAATAGGGGTTTTCCCCTTTTTTCTGGCAACAAAACTGACACCTTTTGCAAGGAATAATGCTTACATTAACCACAATACTTGCAGTCAAATGCAAACAAAAAACAATACTCTGATAATTTATGCATTGTTTTTGAAACTGATTGGTCCACACCAGAGACAGCTTTCTTTAGAGCCTCGTCTCATATGGTTTTCGACCAGATGACGCCAAGTATTGTGGTTAATGTAAGTATGATTCCTTGCAAAAGGTGTCAGTTTTGTTGCCAGAAAAAAGGTGAAAACCCCTATGAGTATATTTTGGTACTGGCAAGGAGGTCCCATGATGACGCCTTTTGGCGTCATCTGGTCGAACACCATATGAGACTAGGCTCTAAAGAAAGCTGTCTCTGGTGTGGACCAATCAGTTTCAAAGACAATGCATAAATTATCAGAGTATTGTTTTTTGTTTGCATTTGACTGCAAGTATTGTGGTTAATGTAAGTATGATTCCTTGCAAAAGGTATCAGTTTTGTTGCCAGAAAAAAGGTGAAAACCCCTATTAGTATATTTTGGTACTGGCAAAGGAGGTCCCATGATGACATCATTTCAATGTATTATTCTGAAAGAAATTGTCCCTGCGTGTACTCGCCTTACCTGTCCGCTTTTGCCACTTAACCAAATCCTCAGGCTGCGTGAAAGTGGTGCACGACATGCTGATGACTGCAAGCAACTGTGGCAGCAATTGGCCATCCGACCAAGAAGACATATTTCGCCTCCTGGTAAGTTACCTGCTTTCGTTTAAATTCCTCGCAATCACATGTCACAATAAGCATTTCATGTTTGAAAGAATTTGCTCTGCGGTCTGTATGTATGTAGGTGCATGGGAGAGAACATTTTGAAATATTAAAGAAAATCAAGGAAAACCTGGAGCTAATCCGAACGCTGCCCACGGATGCCAATGTGTTGCGCAACCTGCAGCAACAACAGTACGTGAACACGAAATAGACAATCGTTGCTCTTGCGAGAGAAGTTCCCGATTGCTGCTGTAATTAAATGGTAGCAACAGAAGGGAAGTAATAAAATGATAAAAATAATAAAATAATTCTCACGACGTTTCGGCCACAACGCAAGCAGCCGTCCTCAGGTGAAGAACAGGTCTGTCGAGGCGACAGCGTCTGAATGAAACAGCACACGCGCTTGGAGCATGTATATACGCTGGGTTGGAAGGGGGGGGAAGGGCGCCTTGACAAAATAATTTGCACATCAAGAGGGTTAATTTTTTGGGTTTTTTCTCCCTCCCAGATACGTGACGGAATTGCGTGGCAGGCCGTCCAACCTCAGCCGACACGGCAGCGAGTGTTCACAGGAAGTCTTGGCCGGCAGCCAGGGACCCTCCAGTGCGGGCGAAGGTTCCTCATCAGGTGACGCAAGCTCTCCCTGCTCGGCGCAGCACATTTCTCTGTACGGAACGTGGCGGCACGCGGTAGAATTGAAAGACGTGACATAATTTGCCACAAAGTGATACGCACTCTTCTTGGTTCTTTCGGTAAAGTCGCCACGTAGAAGGGAAGTAATAAAATAATAAAAATAACACACGATAAAATACAATTCTCACGACGTTTCGGCCACAACGCAAGCAGCCGTCCTCAGGTGAAGAACAGGTCTGTCAGACGCTGTCTTTCCGACACACCTGTTCTCCACCTGAAGACGGCTGCTTGCGTTGTGCCGAAACGTCGTTAGAATTATTTATGATTTTTATTATTTTATTACTTCCCTTCTACGTGATGACTTTACCGAAAGAACCAAGAGGATGAATTCAATATTACTCGTATATGTGTTGAGGTGTAAATGGTTTTATTGCGAATGCTCATCCACTGGTTGCAGGCGTTGCACAGGATGTTGTGACGGGTGAAGCGAGTGGATCCAATGGTCCCCCACGGCCACCGGACGGAGACAACCCACGGGCCCGGCTTGGAACCCTGCCGGACAGCGGCAAGCCTGGCAACGCTCTTTACAAGTAAGTGCCCTTTAGGTGCATCATCGTCGCCACCTTTGAACATCGTCGTCATTTTTTGATTTAAAGCTTTCGTGACTGCAGGGATTCATCTTCTTGGTTTTTTCGGTAAAGTCACCACGTAGAAGGGAAGTAATAGAATAATAAAATAAAACATAATAAAATAATATAATAATATATTAAAATAATATAATAATGTTGCTTTCCTTCTACGTGACTTTACCGAAAGAAGCAAGAAGATCGTCATCATTCACGCTCTGAAAAAAATTACAAATAAATGAAAGGGATTCTTTGCTGAAATAACCTTTTCTACTCTGAGACATCTCTTTTAGCGGTGGCAAAATATAGTAGTAGGTTTTTACCCTTTTAAACTGGTACAAAACTGACACCTTTACACAAGGCATCATACACTGAGACCTCCTTTACCAGTGGCAAAATATAGTGATAGGTTTTTACCCTTTCAACTGGTACAACAACTGACACCTTTATACAAGGCATCATACACCTTGAGACATCTCTTTTAGCAGTGGCAAAATATAGTGATAGGTTTTTACCCTTTCAACTGGTACAAAAACTGACACCTTTATACAAGGCATCATGTTTGCAATGACCACAACGCAAGTAGTCAAAAATGCCAACAAAAGAAGCAACTCTGATAATGATAATATGCACTGTACTACTAAACCTTTTCTACTGTTGCGTCTGCACGCTCCATTCTTTTTCATGATGTATCACTGCTTTATTTAAATGGCTTATCCTTGACGTATTCTACACTGCAACATCTTCCCTAGTCACTGGGTAGGTGGGTCGGTATCGGCCTCGGATATTCTGATGAGCACTCTACACTGCATTAGATATTTTTAGTTGACTTGCAGTGTTTATAACACTCCTTTATTATATACGAGTCTGGGTTCTTCAAGTGTTTAGTTTGATCGGTGTATACTCGACTACAATACTTAAGTCGGTGGGTGAATTAAAACAAAGCAAAGTTCATCTTCTTGGTTCTTTCGGTAAAGTCACGTATAAGGGAAGTAATAAAAATAAAACATAATAATATAATAATATAATATACATGATAAAATTATTCTCACGACGTTTCAGCCACAACGCAAGCAGCCGTAACGTCGTGAGAATTATTTTATTATGTTTTATTTTTATTATTTTATTATGTTTTATTTTATTACTTCCCTTCTACGAGACTTTACCGATAGAACCAAGAAGATGAATCCCTGCAGTCACGAAAGCTTTAAATCGAAAAGCAAAGTTCGTAATGCAGTTTGGGCTGATTTTTGCACTTGGATTTCCAATAAAAAAAAGTCATTATTTTCCATAGGGATATACAGTACAAGCAATGTAAGTGTTGCTTCACATGTTATTTCTAATCGCAATGTTTACGGAGTAAAAATGTGCAAGTTAATGTAATTCCGCCGTACAAAGTACTTTTCGTGCTTCTTGTATTTGGTATTAACATTTTGGAGCCTTGTGTGTGTGTTGTTTTTTGTGTCTCAAGCTTCCTGAAACAATAGACTGCTTGGAGTTTTGGAGAATTTCACTTCACGTGGATTGTCGAGTGTCCAACAGCTGATGAACGTCACTCTGCAGGCAAGTTCCTACGGACGCTTTCACGCAAACTACGCGTGTTTTTTAACGAATACAGGATTGGGATTTATTTCTAAGTTTTTCTGCAACATAAAAAAATGCACAAAGAAGCTTGGAGAAGATGGAAGGTTGGAATTAAACTTGTAAAGAGTTAATGCGTGTGTAGGTGAGGGTGAGTGGTGAGGGTGAGTGGTGAGGGTGAGTGGTGAGCGTGAGTGGGTGAGGGAGAGGGGTGAGTGGTGAGGGAGAGGGGTGAGCGTGAGTGCTGAGTGGTGAGGGTGAGTGGTGAGGGTGAGTGGTGAGTAGTGAGGATTGTAGTGCCACAAGAGGGGGCTCTGGGACCCTAGGCAGAGAAGCCCTTGGCGGCAGGCGCTAGGATCCCAGGCACCCCAGACAGCTAAGCCCCTTGGTGCCACCAGGGGGGGGGCTGTGTGTGCTCTGTGGGATACCTGGGGGCGCACACAACCCCACCCCTCGTTGGGCACGAGGCATAAAAGGGCAGCTCCCTGGCCGATCAGGGCCAGTCGCAGGTCAAGACCCGCCAGCCAGCTTAGGACCCTGTACCCCCTCGTCCCGCTTGTCCTTGTAAGGGCCGGGACGCTGTGAGGGCCAGTGGTGGGACTCTGGGACTCCCGGCTCTACGTCCTTGTGAGGGCGAGTTCCGAGGAAGCCAGAGTCCAGACCCGCACCTTGGCTGGGTCGGACCTTGGCTGGGTCGGGTCAGGTAGCCTCCCCTAGGGGGATTGTAGCCGGAGGACCCCAGAGCATAGCCAGAGTAGTGTACCTAGGCAGTGTACCTAGGCTGTGTACCTAGGCTGTGTACCTAGGCTGTCTACCTAGGCTGTGTATCTAGGCTGTGTACCTAGGCTGTGTCGCTAGGCTGTGTACCTAGACTGTCTACCTAGGCTGTGTACCTAGGCTGTGTACCTAGGCTGTAACAGAGTATCAGGACTGTTGGAGTGTTGTATTGTAATAAAGAAGTTACCTCTACAAGTGTCTCCGGAACCCATTACACGTGGATACCGAAACATGCAAATAAGAAACATTGACAACTGCAAAAAAGTAGATGGGCTTCGGCAAGGGAACATCACTGGACTGCATTGGAGTGGCATCCAAAGTAGAGCACACATCACCAAGAGGATGACCACCACAGAGATTCGAGTTGTGAGATTAGTTCGTGTGTAGTTGATAGATGGATCGTCACATAGCTCGAGTGAGGAGGCTGAGGAGTCCTGATCCAGTAGTGGGTACAAATAAAACACATTCCTCCTGCGGAGGGAGCGGGTAGGAACGTTGGGTTGCTCGCGTCAATGGCCAACTGTGAGGGCCGGGCACAAGCCGTCGTGAGAGGTTAAACGTTGAGTTTTATAAGGGCACCACGGGGTGACCAGCCCCTCCCCACCCAGCCCCACCCACCCTCCCCACCCAGCCCCTCCCCACCCTCCCCTCCCCACCCAGCCCCTCCCCACCCTCCCCTCCCCACCCAGCCCCACCCCTCCCATTTTTGGATGCACGATGGACAGACACAATCATCCCCTGTGGGCTGGTGGAACCAGGTGGTTCCTACCGGTAATACCGACTGATTTTGTACATTAATTGCTCTGAGGAATACACGTCGTCAGAAATTTGAAGAATGTTGTATCGTACACTATGGGAACCTCATTTGCCAGTAAAAATATCATAATTGTTTTTTTACCCTTCTATCTGGCAACAAAATTGACACCTTTTTACAAGGAGTCATGTTTGTATAGACCACAATACTTGTCTCGGGTGTGGACCAATCAACTTCAGGGACAGTGCATACATTATCAGAGTTATGTCTTTTGTTTGTATTATGACTGCAAGGTATTGCGGTCTATGCAAACATGACTCCTTGTAAAAAGGTGTCAGTTTTGTTGCCAGATAGAAGGGTAAAAGCCAATTATCAATGTTGTATCGCTGAACACAAGTTGGTGTGTGTGTGTGTGCATATTTTTTGTATTTCGCTGGATTTTAGGACTTGGATGAACTGGGAGTCCCAGAAGCCAAAAAGCGACTGCTATTGAGTGGAATCGAAGAGCATGGCGTGTCCACCACGATCTCCAGCGAGACGACGCTGCAGCGCTCGTCCAGTGAAGAGACAGTCCACCTCAGCTCCGAGGACGACGACGATGACGGCATCGACACCAAGGACGGCATCCGTGCCAAAGTGTTCCCAGCGCTGCGGCCCTCTGGCAGTCATCTGTCCTCTGTCGGCAATCGGTATCGCAAAAGCAGCATTGCCAAATACAATTTGCGAGCGCACGCTCGCCAAGCCGTTGACTTTCCTCGTTCTCGCAGCTGGGGAGGCAGTAGCAGCCTGGAGGTGCCCAGGAGCAAGATGCCAAGATTGTCTTCATGCTCTGACATCGAAGAAGAAGAGGGGCTGGAGTGAGAAGAGGAGGGGGGTGAGCGATAGATGGATGATGGTGGGAGGTTGTGTGGGCCATGGGTTGCACTTTGTATGAAAAGCCCTTGGGGTAAATAAGCTGGTGTCTTTCGATTGAAGCTTTCGTGACTGCAGGGATTCATCTTCTTGGTTCTTTCAGTAAAGTCACGGTCGACAGACCTGTTCTCCACCTGAGGGCGGCTGCTTGCGTTGTGGCCGAAACGTCGTGAGAATATTTATTATGTTTTATTTTTATTATTTTATTATTTTCCTTCTACGTGACTTTACCGAAAGAACCAAGAAGATAAGCTAGTGTCGTTTCACTCGCAGTTTCAATAACTTCCTTTGAGCTTCTTCTTGGTTCTTTCGGTAAAGTCACGTAGAATGGAAATAATAAAATAGTAATACTTTTTTTTTATAAATTAATTCTCACGACGTTTCGGCCACAACGCAAGCAGCCGTCCTCAGGTGAAGAACAGGTCTGTCGAGAAGACAGTCTGTTTTTATTTATTATTATTTTATTACTTCCCTTCTACGTGACTTTACCGAAAGAACCAAGAAGATGAATCCCTGCAGTCACGAAAGCTTTAAATCGAAATTCCTTTGAGCTTGCTTGCATAGTTTTTTTTTTTTCCAGAATGCAGTCAATAGAATATAAAGCAGCATCTTGGCTTTACTACCCAAGGCAGGAACTTGTCTCTTCCAAGAAAGAAGTGAATGACTTGTCAGTTTTGTTCCTTCTTAATTTTGGAGCTTTCGTGACTGCAGGAATTATTCTTTGGTTTTTTCGGTAAAGTCACGTCTAAAGATAAAACGTGCCGTTAGGTCATCTGGAGTTGAAATATACAACACGTTTTGTTTCCGTGCAGAGGAGATAGCCATGTTCAGAGAAATGTGCTTTTTTGTTGTGTTGCATTGCTCGACTGTTGAAAGATCGTTTCAAATTTGCATCTTTTGGAAGGATGAACACGAAGTGGGAAGGTTTTTGCAAAATCAGATGTTCTCATACTCCAGAAGATTGTTGTACGGGGCCTGTCTGCTCTCACCTACTTGATAACAACCCCAAAAATGCCTAAATAAAAGTTGATTTGTGACATGTTCCATTCTGCAAAGTTTTATAGACTTTGCTGCTGGTAGCAGATGTAGAGAAAACAACACCTGTCTACACTTAGTGTTCATGGAACTGTCTTAAGCGTATATATGCAGTGGGTTTTTTAAAATCCATTATATTAAGTTCACTTGCTTGCTTGCTTAGGACCGTGCAAATGTTTCGGTCGTTTTTTAACCCACTTCCCGTCATCCAATCGAGCTGACATTTTGCACACAGACTCGTTGTGCGTGACAATTTATGTTCGTGAAACATTTTTCCCAAATTTTACACTTTTTAGGGAATTTTTTTTATAAATATTTAATTACCAATTGCTTAATGGTGGCAGGCAATCATCTGACCCATAGGTGGCAGCCATCTCAAGCCAGAGGACAAGAGGACTCTAGTCGCCACGCATAAAGGATTTAGAGTGAAAAACTTTGTTTTTACGGGTTAATTTTTTGTTACAGGTAGGAACAACAGTTCCCCACCACCCCACCAGGGATTATTTGTCTGTCGTGCATAGCCCCTCCCACCGTGTAGCACGCTCGCGGATTGGTTGAAGTGCGTCACGTGACCGCGAGCTTTCTGCCAACCAAGTTCCTAGCTGGCCACTGTGAAGGAACGTGATTGTGCTGTGGATTCAGAAACCCGAGTTTGAGGGTGACGTCCGAACTGCTGATTGTTTGGGTGCTGACCACTGGTGAAGTACCCGTCTGGTCACTGTCTGCATCTTGGAGTGGATTGAACAAGGGCTGTTGATATTATTGAGCTTTGATTAAAAGCCAAAAACCTTTAAAGTACAATTTGAGGAATTGTTTTTCTGGATAAACCACTCGGAAAAAATATATCCAATGTTTGAGTTTGCATACGGAGCCCAAAACCACGTGTACGTTTTGCAATGTGCTTTATATTTTGTAGCAATCACTGCCTTTCATGTAAACTGGTACCAGGTGCATACAGCGCATGGAACGTTCAATTCGAATGTGCAATTCCTGGAATAGCTACAGTAGTGATTTGTTTACACAGTTTTGACAATAAAAAAACTCTCTTTGAACCGTTAACACGATCTTTTCTGACGGTGTGTTTTTTAATCCAACGTGGCGCGATAGAAATATTTTATTTGCCTTCGTACACGGGTTGATATTGACGGAGCACAGGCGAGTATCACTTTGACGCTGTGGTGGATTGAGAGCAGATATTTGCGTCGGGGGTAGCTGAGCGAATCGCCGCGTGGTAATGATGCCTCCATATGTGTCAACCGGGGTTCTGTTCTGGATCGCAAACAACAAAGCACCTAACACTCACACACCACAGACTCCTACACACACCTAACACTCACACACACCTAACACTCACACACACCTACACACTCACACCTACACTCACACCTAACACTCACACACACTAACACTCACACACACACACCTAACACTCACACACACCTAACACTCACACCACCTAACACTCACACACCTAACACTCACACACCTAACACTCACACACACCTACACTCACTCACACCTAACACTCACACACACCTAACACTCACACACACCTAAACACTCACAACACTAACACACACACCTAACACTCACACACACCTAACACTCACCACACAACACTAACACACACACCTAACACTCACACACACCTAACACTCACCACCTAACACTCACCACACCTAACACTCACACACACCTAACACTAACACACCTAACACCACTCACACCTAACACTCACACACCTAACACTTCACACACTAACACTCACACCTAACACACCTAACACTCACACACACCTAACACTCACAAACACTCACTCACACTAACACTCACACACACCTAACACTCACACACCTAACACACACACACCTAACACTCACACCTAACACTCACTCACACCTAACACTCACACACACCTAACACTCACACACACCTAACACTCACCACACACCTAACACTCACACACACCTAACACTCACACACCTAACACTCACACACCTAACACTCACACACACTAACACTCACACACCTAACACTCACACACACCTAACACACACACACACCTAACACTCACACACACCTAACACACACACACACCTAACACTCACACACACCTAACACTCACACACACCTAACACACACCTAACACTCACACACCTAACACACACACACACCTAACACTCACACACACCTAACAACACCACCTAACACCACACCTAACACTCACACAGGTGACTGATGGATGAGCGGGAGCGGCGCTTTGTAAACTCGCCTTCATCGTCTCCCTCGCCGACTCGCGAGTGTTTGTGTGTTGTTGTTGTTGGAAACGTCCCGACGTCAGATTGAAGCTTGGACGGGCGAGCCAAGGAAGCTCCAGCAGCGGAAGAAACTCGTCACGTTGCAGACACCGAGTGACGCGTACCACGTGACAGAGACGCCAACCCACGTGCCCTTGAATGCCCCTTCTCGGTTTAAGCGGCGCCCGTTCGCACGCACAAAAGTGTGATTTTGATGATGAACGAAGGTGCAACGAATAAATAGAACCCGGACGACGCCCTGGCAAATCGAGTTCTGTCTGCTGCCAATTCTCGTCGGCATCTCTCGCGCAACGCGGATCGCACTGCGCGGTTCTCGTCCGTGCCGGCCACGCGGTTGATATCGGCATAACGACGGAACGAGACACGGAGCGAGATAAAATAGCCGCCTCCTATAATTTACGCTTCAACAAAAAACAAGTATAACCCGTAAAAACAAAGTTTTTCACTATAAATCCTTTATATGCGTGGCGGCTAGAGTCCTCTCGTCCTCTGGCTTGAGATGGCTGCCACCTATGGGTCAGATGATTGCATTGCCCATTAAGCAATTGGTAATTAAATATTTTGTCCTAAAAAGTGTGTGTCAGTGTGTGTGTCAGGCTGTCAGTGTGTGTGTCAGTTGGCGAGGAGTGGTGGTGCAGCGGTTAGCGCGCTGCACTACGAACCCGGATCCCCGAGTTATATTCCCGCTCACGGCCAAACCAGCGACGATTACCTGAACCGGCACGGCCGCCTCCCCCGGGTCGACTCAGCCTCAAATGAGTACCTGGTGCGGTGTGTAAACATCGCCACGGGGAGATAAAAGGCGGGGCGTGGTGCTGGCCTCCCACCCCCTCCTCCACCGTTCGGCTTATAGGTGCTCGCTAACAGCACTTGCCCCAACAGCCTGTGCAGGCTACACGGGTGATCTTTGTATTTGTGTCTTTGGCGCGCGCCCTCGTTGCTGCGTCCCCAGAGACACTGCCTCCTCCTCCACGATCGGCGTCGTTATTGCGCCTTTTGGCGTCATCTGGTCCAACCCATGTGAGACTAGGCTCTATGGAAAGCTGTCTCGGGTGTGGACCAATCAACTTCAAGGACAGTGCACATTATCAGAGTTATGTTCTTTTGTTTGTATTATGACTGCAGATATTGTGGTCTATGCAAAATGACTCCTCGTAAAAGGTGTCAGTTTTGTTGCCAGATAGAAGGGAAAAAACAATTCTAATATTTTTACTGGCAATGAGGTTCCCATGGAATAAAATAATTGTTTCCCTTCTACGTGAGTTTACCGAAAGAACCAAGAATATAAATCCCTGCAGTCACGAAAGCTTTAAATCGAAATGTAGCTTGACGTAATGTGTTCCTGTCTATTGCGTTTAATAAACACAACGCACACACGCGTAGGAGACACCCGTGTCACTGTCATGCTATTGAAGGGACGTTTAATCTCTTAAACGTGAACACGAAAATCAACCGACAGCAATAAACAATAAACAACCAATAACACTGGTCAACAAAATATAGATAAACACATTGGCGATAGGCAACACTCGGGCGGATAACGCATTGATGACACTGGTCAACACAAAAAAAAAATGCTGGTGGACTTTTGCAGCTGTTTTAGACATCTCATTTCGATGCTATCGGCATACCCCATTTTCATTGATTTACCCTAAATTAACTCTGTCACTATGATTGCAAGTCGTTGCGAGTCAGTGACTGCTTTAGTGTCAAAATACGGTGCTGTATTTTAGGATAGTGTGTTTATGACCAGTGTTATAATCAACGGGCCGCTGACGACGTCCCCTCCTCTCTACAGTTCGGGAACCCGCCGTGGGAACGGGGAACTTGCGGCTCACGGCCACCAACCTCCCGTCGTCGTCGCGAGGCAGTCGCCAAACGAGACTCATGCTGAGGGGGGCCCCCCGGGGGGCCGAGCCCCCCCTCTGGCCGTCCCCGCTCTCCCGCGCTCTCCGCTCCCGAAGGGACTCGCCAACCTCCCACGTCACCCACGCCCTCGTGACCCGCCGCAGCCTCTCCGTGACCCGGCTCCACCACCCGAGCCCTCCCTCCCCCCCCCTCCCTTCTCCCCCCCCCTCCCCCCCGCGCTCCCCGAACCTCCCACTGCAATCCCCCCCTGTGTGCGCGCAGCCCTCTCCTCCTAGGTTCCTGGCGTTCTCCCTCGGCGTGTGCGTCTGGCGTCGAAACGCCCGCCTCTCCACCGCTCTCGCGAGTCCCACGAGTGAGCCCCGTGTCACACCCGCTCTCGCTCTCCCGGCGCCCTCCGCCCCTCTCCCCCTCGCCGCCCCCCCCCCCAGCTCGCGCTCCGGGGCGCTCTCCGCCGCGCTCTGCGGGGGGGCTCCCGCGGACGGCCTGAGCGGCCCCCGAGGCCCGCGGACGGCCGTGCGAGCCGGT